TACACTATTGCCTTCTAAGTAACAGAGGACTTTCATTTCACATTCTTACGCTGATTTGTTCTTCCAGCTTCTTATACCGAATTGTTAGGGAATATGGGCCCCAAACTACAATATCTCACTTTTTCTGCAGATTAAATTGCTTAACCATCCAGAGAGTGAATAAATTGGATCATTTTAGAAGACTCTCCCCTTCTCCTCTTTTTTTTAAAATCATTTCTTTTGTCTTGAGGAGGAAACATGAAGTACTTTTTCTAAGGACTCTTCAAGCCGGAAAGGCGTCCGAGGGCTTCTCCGGGGTCACAAAGCTGGAGTCTGGTGTAGCACCACTTCCTGGTTCTACCGGCGTCTTTCTTGTTTTGCCATAAACCTCCCTTTGATGGACCTGAATTGTTACAACGCCTCCTGCCCCTAACACGTATAAGGGATACAAAACGCACTGCAATCAGGAGCCAGGCGGCAAAACCGCGCAGCCGGGAGAGTCAGAGCACCATCCCCGGGCACCGCGCGGCGCGCCCAGCGTAGGGAAAGTCGGCCGAAGGCGCCGCGCGCGCTCGCGGAAAGAGGCGTAGCTTCCGCCGCGCGCGCCCCCGCCCCCGACAGCGTCGGCGGTCACGTGACGGCCGCGCGCGTCCCCGTTCGGTGCAGGCTCAGAGGCCGAAGAGAAAGGACTGCGAGGTGGCCGAGGCTGAGGCCAGAGAGGTGGGAGTTCGGGCGAAATCCTCGCAAGGGGCCGGGAGAAAGTGGGCCCCTGTTTGGGATCCTAATTCAGGGAGAGGCGGCATAATCCGCGGTGTCATCCCCGGCCGCGACGCGCCTTGGGTTGGCCGGGCGCTCGGGGCCTGAGAGGGGCGGCGGCGGGGTCAGGGGCCGGTACGTAGATGGACGTCCTTGGGCGGCGCGGTCCCGGCCGTCCGCGCGGAGATGGGATCGGGTAGCTCAGTCCTGTCGTCGCCGCCCCCGCTGTGGCTTCTGTTGCAGGCAGGAAGACTGTGACTGCCCCTGCGTTGTCCCCGAGCGCTGCCGCCCCTGCCCTGGGCGACGGCCGGAGATGGTCTCGGCCGGGGTGCGAGAGGCGGAGCTGCGGCCATTACTGCGCACCCTCTTCCTTCCGCTGGTGTCCGCGGCGCTGCCCGGGGCGGCAGCCACCTCCCTGTTCTCGCCACTCGGCGCTGTTGTCAGGGCTCTGCCGGGGAACCTCTGGCCAAAGGTTTAGGGGCGGCGATGGTTTCGAGGGGGGGTCTACTATTCCTGTTCCCCATGTGGACAAACACGTTGGTTCTTGGGTCCGATCGAAGGCAGGGCGCCGGTCCTTGCATTTTCTTTTTCCTGGAGTCTTTGGCTGCTGCTTTCTGTTCTCTGCCTCCCTCCCTCCTCCTCCAGCTTAGCCTTTCAGTCTTGCCTAATCGAAGAGAGCAGTCCTTCCACCTTGCCTGCCCTGGTAAAAGCCATCGCAGCGTATTCTTAGTTGTTTTGACGGCTACCAAAGAATGGAGACAGCCAAGAGGTGTCTCAATAGCTCTGGAGCCCCAGGCTGTCTGCATCTTAAAAGCCAAGGTTGTTGCTTTGTTCTGGTTGTTGGGTGCGGAGTTCTCGCTACTCTCCATCCCAGCTGAAAGAGTACGAGTCTCTACCATTGTTGTTTTATTTCCAGACGATTTTAATAAAGGCTGTAACATTGTTTTTGAGACTGTGGAGCTGGAATGGTTTTCTTCACAGGTAAAAGCTCCAGAACTGCAAGTTCACACACATATTCTGACAGCTGTTTTTGTTTTTGTTTTTTCCCTTGTTAAGCATTTTGGCATACGCTGTTATTTTTTTCTCCAAGTGCTATTTCATTGAGCAGTTATTTCTCAAGTTTTGGGCAATTTTAAGTTACATTTTAAAAATACTGAAATAGTATAGAACTGAGGGAGAAATAAAGCCAAGAGAACAGAAAAGGCTCTGTTGTTTGAATGATTGACATTTCAGGAGCCAGGGTGCACCCCTGTCGTCCTCGACCCCCTTTGTGTGTGTGTTTGTGTGTGTGTGTGTGTGTGTGTTTACACACTTTTCAAATGGGATGTGAACCTATAACATGAGCATTCAAAACGGTATAATTAGAGATTTTGGAAGACATAACATTTTAGAGTGAGTGTATTTAAAAGTTTTAAAGATATGACATAGTAGGACATTAAAAAAATGACCACCAATAACAAGATTTGTGGTACTGGGTTAAGTACTTTTTGTTTAGTGTCTGGATGTTCTAAAATCACATGAAAATAGGTCAAGTAGATCTCACTTTAAAGAAAACTAAGCGTGAGTACCGCTCTAAAAATAGGTATTTGGATGTGTGTTTTGGTCTTGGATATTAAAGCGAAGCACTGAATTTAGAATTTATGACTCAAATAGGGCAGTGTAAGTCGTGGGCAAATAAAAATACTGATATTTAAACACTTGAAAAAAAAACTTGAAAGTTTCTGTTATTTGATGGTTATTAAGAACTTGGTAGAGTTATAATCATCAGGAAAATGATAATTAGATAAGAGGAATTATAAAAGAAATGACTTTTTTTCTTGTAGGAGACATGTCAACTGGTAAAGTGTTTCGGTTTCCGCCAACTTGAATTGTCAGAAAAAGGGAACAGATTTTTTTTTTTTTTTGAACGTATCCTCAGAAGAAGAAAATCATAGTAACAAATCTTTTCACGCTAATCTGTTTAAAGAATATTATTTTCTGTATTAGTCATATTCTAGTATGACAGGTTTAACAAACTGCAGTTGGAGATTGGAATACTTATTTTACCCCCTCCAATGTTAGTAATGGAAGGTGCCTTTTCTAGTCCTTTGCCTGGTTTCCTTTCGACTAAAGAATTTGAGTTTGTGAAGAATGTGTGTGTGTATATCCACTGAACTTACAGCGACATGTGGCTATTTGTGGACTCTTCAAGTGTTCAGGGTCAATTATTTTTTGGGTTAATTAAAACAAAACCTGTTAAATGCCTGTTAATTTAAATATTTAGTTATAGAATTCTACAGTGTAGTAAAGTAACAAAAGATGTGAGAATTATGATTTGACCCAGGTCACACTTTTAATTAGCCAGAGACTTTGTTATTTACAGAATAGTTGCTGGCCATGAAACTTTTATATTTGATGTGCCAAAAGAGGTATTTGTTCACATTTATATCACATTTTATTGAAATAAAATGCAAAACCCACTTTGGGGAAGAGGAATTTAAAGGTTTAATGCTTGAGTATGAAGATTGTAAATGCAGTAGGTAGATGCCATACAACAATGTTTTTTAAGGGAAGTGATGCACAATTAGGAAAAGAGTTCTTTAAAATAGAGTATTGGACTTTATATAGCTAAAATGAGTTTCTCATGAAGACTTTTTTGTAAGTATGACCTGTATTTTGTAAACTGATTTACAACACAGGACATGAACTAAAATTGGATACAATTATTATTTACATTTCTCAATTTGGGACTCTTAAAGAAACTTAAAATGTATCTGCTAAATTACACCTGATTGATACTCCTTTTTCTGGTCTTTGTGTGTGTGTGTATATGTATGTATATTTGAATTACGTGCTAAAAGTTGGAAGGTTTAAAGTAGTTTTCCTTTCTGTCATTGAGAGTTTCTTTATAAAACATTGTGTATTTTGATTAAGTAAAGGATTACAGCTATTTTATTAAACATCAGCTGTTAATTGAAAAAGCACAGGAAGTCTTCAGTTGCTCATAATTGGATGTATTTTTATGTATTTATATTGATGTTATGTATTCATCTTTTTAAGTCACTTTGTTAAGTTATTTTTGGAGTTGATTATTTTTTCTACTTAGTGATTCCTGTAATAACCAGTTTTATGTTAAAAATGATTGCTAATATTCAAGACATCCTAGATGTGCATTGCCCAGGATAGTAGCTGCTAACCACATGGAGCTATTGAGGACTACAGGTCTGCCTTATGCTATAAGTGTAAAGTACACACAGAATCTCATATATATACACACAAACACACGTGTATAGATATATATACATACAAATATAAAATGTCAGATTAGTAATTTTTATTTAATACGTATTGAAACGGTAACATTGTACATATATTTGGTTAAATAAAATATATCATCTAAATTAATTTTACTTGTTTCTTGTTACACGTTTTAACGTAACTAGTAGAAAATTTAAGATTAGATATGTGCTTTGCAACACAGTTCTACTAAGATAATGCTGTTCTAGACCTTTTCCTCAACAGTACATTGTAGAAAGGATGATTTCTCTGTGTGTGTCCAATCTGTAAAGGACTTTTTCAGAGAAAATACTATTTTGTTGATAATTTGCTTGAATTCAATTTTTAGCCTTCAAGTAAGGGAAAAGCAGAATGAGAAAACCTAGTGTCCTTGGATTAATTAGATTAAAAAATGCTTTTGTTGTAGTGTATAGGTAGCATAGCTTTTTAATACTTGTGTCTATAGGTTAACTTCAGCTATGTGAAATAGTGCTGTAAAAGGATTACAACTTAGGTTTTCAAATACAGGTGTTGTGGAAGATTTCTATGCATTATTTTAAAGCTACTTTACTTCAATTAACTTAGATCCATTTAAGCATCAACTTATTTCAGAGATAAAATATTATGGACAAGAATGGCATAAGTAACTGGAGAATGGTAAAGATTTAAGAGAAGGATTATATAAATAAATGCAAGAAAAAAGTGGGGTTAGAAATAGTAATGAGTTTTTTTGTGTATTTTATAGGAATAAAATTTTTTTTTTATAAATCTAATAGTGATCCAACAAGATTTTTAAAATAAATGTTTAAGTAAATTTTTGAGACCAGAGGTTACAATCATTTATATTCCTGGAATAACAGAATAAAGTAACTGGTATGTTTGAAAAGACTTGTAAAGATTGGGAAGCATAGGCACAACTTAAGACTAACAGCAATATCTAGCAGGAGTTTTTCCATCAACAAATTTCATCTTAGAATGTGAGTAAAGTATAAATTGACTTTTGAGTGATGATCTAAAAATGTTTGTGATAAGTAAAGGGTAAGGTATTTATATATTCTAAACTAGTACACTTTTTTCAGGAAACAAAAGTCGAAACTACAAATGTTGGTCTGTCCCACATCATCATGCTTACCTTTATTGGGAAAAGTGCTCTGTGAAGATAGTTTGGCTGTCTAGAAACCAGTTGGACTTATTGTTGGATTTTTATCTGCATTTTGGAGAATTCATTGAACACTAACTAAGCAAATACAGTATCCTGTTTGCCAGAAGATAAGATGACCGCAGTCTTACCTGTGTAAATGAAGCTACTCCCTCTGGTACATTTTAAGTTCTTTTAAGAAGGGATTAGTTATATCTTTTTATCTTCCATGAGTACTTTGTTCACCAAACTCAAGTGTTGTGTTATGAGAATAAACACATTTAGTTATTTTAGGAAGTTAGTTTTACATTTATTCAACAAATACCAGTTCAAATCAACAAAAAGTGATTAGCAGTTTACTAACCAGAGATACAAAATTGGTTCCTGTCTTCAATTTAACCCAAATGTCAGTGCATATGGCAAGTTTAGTAATGGAACAATGTACAAACTAGAGAAGAGGAGATAATTAGCTTTTTGGAGATAGAGAAAATAAATGAGGGATGGCCATTTCTGTGCAGTATATTGAAAGTCAAGTAGGCATTTAGTAGCTGCAAAAGAGAAATGAATATAACACAGGAGTAAATACAAACTTTAAAGGGAAACTTGGAGATCTGTGGGTAATTTGGTATAACTAGAGCATTAATCTGGTTGTCAGGAAAATACTGTTACAGAGTTAGTTATTTAGGATTCAGATCACTAAGGTTTTTGGCTATTGTAAAGAGCCAATTTGCCTTTACTGTGTAGACTGGGGAAGGTATAGAAAGAACATGGTCCATTTTGCCTTTTAAATGTTATTAGAGACAGTGAATAGATTTGAGGGTGGTAGTGAAGCAAGATAATTCATTAGGGTGAATAGCAGTCTAGGTAAGATGCAGGTTTAAACAAGGGCACTAGTCATGGGTGGAGAGGTAGAGTCCAAAAGTATTGGAGATTTTTTTTTTTTTTTTAAAAGGTGTTAGTGATCAGAATTTGGTGTGATGGTTGGAGGAATGGATAGAGTGGAGAGATAATTTTCTGTTTACAACACTTAAGTGGTTAAGTCATGGAAGCTGAGATGTCCCACTTTAATACTCAGGCAGAGATGGGGTTTGTGGAGTACACAGATGCGAGACAGATACAAGGGAGCTAAGGGTTCTGTTAAGAAAGAAATTAAAATGATTGAGTTCCAGAATGGGCAGGAAAGAAAATGAGATCAAGAACTGGTTAAAGGAAAGGAGATGGTCAAGAGACTGGAGGTCTCCATAATTGAAGAACAGGTGTAGGATGAGTAAGTGAGCTAGACTAACCAGAGCTTGAGATCTGAAAATGGGATTATGATTTTAGAGATAGAGAAGCTTTAAGTAACAACTGGTTCCAAATGTGGCTATGATACTTTGTTGCTAAGAGGAAGTGAATTGAATTTAGGGTTTTAGAAATTGAAAATAAAGACATTTATATTCTTTGGACTGCTCCATTATCACTGACTTAAAATTTCTAGGTGTAGGGCCTGAGAATGCATATTTGTAACAAGCAATCTCTTTGATTCTAGTAAATATAACTTTGGGCAAGTTTTAGAACCTCTGAGATAGATATTTGGTGGTTTATTCTTAATGATATTTAAATAGACTTACTGTGATGTTAGGAGTTGGGTGAAGAGGATGATTAATACTGAAAGAATGAAGTCAGTGTCTTAAAGGTTGAGAGCAGCAATAGGGGATGGTGGAGTGTATTATACCCAATGACAGAGACTTCACAGAATAAGTAAGTAATGTTGGAACAGTAGAATGTCTCCTCCTGACCTGTAGATAGGGAGCACTTGGCTGTAAGTGAAAATGGGCCGTTTCTGTTTTGAGTAGGCTGCAGGAGGGAAGTGAATGGAGTGTTCTGTGATGCTATTGAAGTTGTGGCTCCTGAGGGCAAAGTGAAAGAGTTGGGAGGCAAATCCAAATAGTGGAGTCCATATTATCTAAAGCAAGAACAAAATAAAAAGCCACATTACTTAGAAATCTTGTTTACACAATTACTCTTAAAAGCTCTCTGGTTTCAAAACTGCTTCTTGCTTGTTCTCATAAATATTTGGTAAGATAAACAGAAAAATAGAGGCCACATACCAGAATCCTAGATAACTTAGGGTGATAGTTGCCCACAACAATGACAGACAAATGGAACTGAAAGAAAGGGTTCAAATCTCTCCTATCTGTGCTTATTGTGAGGTATATTATCTCTTTAGTTATCATATACAGGTTTCTATGTAATATGATGTGCCTCTTACAGTAGGCCTGGTGAAGTGAGAGGAGAAAATACTAAACAAGAAGAAAAAAGATAGTGACTGAGATGTGGTTCTGGATGATGCCTCTGAATTCCCCGTACAAAAAAAAGTAGCTTGAGAGAAGGTTGGCTTAAAAGTTACAAACACATAAGCATAAAATAAGAAGTCCTAATTAATGTGATAACATTGCCTTTGCACAAGTTGCTTTCTTGTAGGAATGTAATGACTGCTGAATATAATCAGTCTTAAGATAGGTTTTGTCCATATTGAACTGTTCTGCTTAAAATTTTTTCTTAATGTAACATTTTGCTCTCTTAAACTTCTTTGCAGTTACTGGGGTGTGAACTTGGGGTCTCCGCTTACCATGCCCCCCCTTTTTTTCTTTAGTTATTTTTAAGATAGGGTCTTCCATTTTTTGCCTTGGCCAGCCTGGATCTGTGTTTGTCCTACCTACTTACATTTCTTTAGTCGTTGAGGTTAGAAGCATGCGACACCATACCTGGCTTATTCTTTGAGATAAGGTCTTGCTAACTTTTTTGCCCTGCCCTCAAACTGCAATCCTATCTCCTTCCATGAGCCATTGAGACTGACCTTTTTAACCATTTGTAAGTGTAAGATTTTAATATAATTTTATTTACAATATTGTGCAACTTTCACTACTGCATATTTCCATGACTTTTTCATTAATGCAGACAGCAGTAGCTCCCCATTCTTTCCTCCTCCTAATCCCTGATAAACTCTAATCTACTTTCTGTTTCCATGAATTTGCCTATTCAAATGCAATTATAAATATAATATTTATTACTTTTGTCTGACATATTTCACTTAGTATAATATTGCCAAGGTTTATCCATGTTGGGTGAATGTCATTTTTTATTACTAAATGATACACTGTTTTATGTACCATGTTTTGTTTACTCATTTGTTGAGGAATACTTGTGTCTTGTTTTTGAGTAATAATTCTGTAGTGAAAACTACATGACTTTATTTGACTCCTAGTTTTCAATTATTTTGGTGTATAACTAGGAGTTAGGACGGCTGGGATGTATGCTAGTTATTAAGTTTTTGAGTAGCCATCAAATTGATATCCACAGGAGCTGCACCATTTCACATTCTCACCCATAGCGATCAAGGGTCCAGTTTCTCCATATACTAACGTTTATTTCCCCATTTAAAAATTTATATCCATTCTAGTAGATACATCATTGTGATATGATTTACATTTTCCCAATGGTGAGTAATATTAGGCATCTTTTCCTGGGTATTTATGTATCTTTGGAGAAGTGATTTTTTTTCAAGTCCTTTGTTCATTTTTTATTTTATTTTTTTTTGTTGTGAGTTGTTGGAGTTCATTAACTATTCTGAGTGTTAAGTCAGATACATGGTTTTTTCCCCCCTTCTCTAAGTTACCTTGTTTACTTTGACAGTGACCTTTCCTGCACAAGAGTTGTTAATTTAGATAAAGTTCAATTTATGTGTTTCTTTTATTGCTCATGCATTTGGTGTTATATCTAGGAATCCATTGCCAATTCCAAGGTCATGAAAATTTGCCTGTGTTTTCTTCTAAGAGTTTTATGGTTTTACTTTTGATATAGAACATTGATCAACTGTGAAATAAGTTTGCATATGGTGTGAAGTAGGAGTTCAATTTCATTCTTTTGTGTGTGGGAATTCAGTTGTTTTAAACATCTGTTGAAGAGAATATTCTTTCCCCATTGAATAAATGTCGCACCTTTTTTGAAAAATCAGTTGACTACAAATATATGAATTTATTTCCAGATTCTCAATTCTACTGATGCATTGTCTGTCCTTATGCTAGAAATATACTGTCTTGATATTGCAGCTCTGTTGTAAATTTTGATATTGGGAAACAGAAATTGTTTAATGCTTTTCTTCTTTTTCAGGACTATTTTGGCTATTTGGGGCCTCTTGTAAATCCATATGAATTTGAGGATTGGCTCTTCCATTTCCATAAAAAAATAAAACCAGTTGAGATTTTGATAGGAATTATGTTGACTCTAAATCACTTTGAGTAGTATTGGTTGTCATAACCTATTGAGTCTTCCAGTCCATAACACTTCCAGTTGTCTTCACACTATTTGGCTGTTTATTTTTTTCAGTAATGTTTTATAATTTTCATTATACAAGTCTTTCATCTACTTGGTTGATTCTTAGCTACTTTATTCCTTTAGATGATATTATAAATGGAATTACTTCCTTGGTTTCCATTTTAGATTGTTGACTGCAAGTAGTATATAGAAACACAGCTGGTGGTTTTGTGTGTGTATGTGTGTGTGTGTTGTGCATATGTTGAGCTTGCAACCTCCAACTTTGCTGAATTTGTTTATTTGCTTTCTTAGAGTTGTTTGGGATTTTCTATATAGAGAGAATAGATGTATTTTTCCTGAATGTACAAACAAAAATTACACTGCTAGAATTTCCTGTAGTTTTGAGTATTATTGGTGGAAGTAGACATCCTTGTCTTTTTTTTTTTTTTTTACTTTCAAGATAAAATTTGCCACTGGACTTTGTTAAAGGATCATATGATTCTGTTGATCTTAGTCTGTAGAGAAGTTGATGTCAGATTCTTTTCTTTTATAGCACAAAGAATGAACCAGCAGTGGAAGAGAAACTACTGCAAACTGACTAATTGCGGGTGAAGATGTTTTATTTTTGTGGCAGGAATCTGTGGGATCTGTAATAGAAATGTAAGTATAGCATCATTGTTTTTCCAAAGGTGAAGGGGGATGGTATAAAATACAGTAAATATTTGTCTTTTTTTTTTTTTTTTTTGGCAGTACTGGGATTTGAACTATGGGCCTTGTACTTCTAAACAGGCTGTCTGCAACTTGAGCCATGCCCCAGTCCTTCTTTTTTCCTTTAGTTATTTTACACATAGGGTCTTACATTTTTGTTTGAGGATACCCTCATACCACAATCCTGGTCCACCTGTGCCTCTGGGTAGTTGGAATCAAAGATGCATACTAACATGCCTGCCTTACTGGTTGAGATAGGAGTCTCACTAACTTTTTGCCCAGGCTGGCAATCTCTACTCCCAAGTATCTGTGATTACAGGCATGAGCCATCATGCCTGTTTTTTAGTTTTAATTATACAAAACAAGCATTTTGTATTGACTTACAAATGCTTTATTGAGTTAGAAATCTTATTCACAGTAAATTACCATTAATGAAGATTTCTGAAAGTCTTCTTGTGGGGAAAAATCTCTATAAGAAGTGAAACTGAAGGAGGAGGAATTTGCTCATAGAAGGCTAAAAAGTTGGTGAGCTCTCCAAGGCTTCTAGTTTCTTCCATTCCTTTACAAAATAATTTATTTAAATAACCAAGTTAGGCAGATAGCTTTAGCTTTTATAAATAATAGAGATTTCTGCATTATAAAAAGACTAGTTAATAAAAATTTGCTCCATTAAATTTAGGAATTTCTTTATATCATAACTGATTAAAAAATAGTACATTATAGTTTTTTATTCATATTGACTTTGCAGTTTTATTAGGTATGTTTTACTGTCATTTAGTCTTTGTGTAATATGCTTTGAAGTGTTAGATTATCTTAAATTTTGCTTATATCGAACTTCATTGTATTATTGACGAAATATTTCCTATAATGAGCATTATGGTTTTGTATCATGAAAAATATATCATGAAAAACATTTTACTGATGCTTAATATCTTGGTGAATATAATGTCTAAATTCCTGAATCAGAGTGATGTTTGTATAGTAATTCACATTCTCCTAGTTTGCCATATAACTCTAGCTTGCTATCTACTTTTTTAGTATGATACTCTGATTGTATGCTTCCATTGAAAGTATGACCGTACCATTCTAAGTGAGTTTTGAGAACTAGATAAAAGGAAAAATTATACCTGTAAGCCTTTTTCTTTAAAACTGGGCAATGCATCTTTTATTTAATCCTGTCCATTTTAAAAAAAATTTTTTTTATTTTCCCAGTGCTGGGGAGTCAAACCTAGGGCCTCATGCATGCTTGGGCCAGTGCTCTACTACCAAGACACATCTCCAGGCTCTACTTTTTTTTTTTAAATTTTGTAAGTTAGGTAGTCTAGGTGTTGATCATCATGGAAGTCCGTATGAGTTAGTGAGATGAATATGTAATTAATGATTCAATGATGGGATAAATGCCCTATTGAGGTAATCAGTAGTGGGATAAATGCCCTATTGAGGCAACAAGAAGATGCTGTTGGAACTTGAGGAAGAAATTAATTGCATGTGAGGGGTCCAGAGTGAACAGAAGAACTTTAAACTTGACTTTAAAGAATGAATAGAATTTTAACAATCAGAAAAAAATTAGGAAATTTTTCAAGCCAAGAGAAAGAGAAGGGGTACAGCTGCCTAACATCAGGGCATTTTAGGGAAGTTGGGGAACAATCCTATGTATAAAAGTAGAGTGGGGAAAAGTGACATCAAAGGTAGTAAAAGGAATAAATACTTATCTAGTACCAGTTGCTTACTGGGTGTTTTATTGGTTTATTGAATTTTATTATAGTGTATTGTAATAGTAGCTTCACTTACTAGTAAAAAAACAGAATTATATTAAATTACTTGCCTACATCTATGTTTACCAAATGTTTCTGAGAATAATCCCTTGGGTTGCTTATTTAAAGACACAAATTCTTAGACTTAACTCAGACCCCTGCGTTCAGATTTCCAAGAAACAGTACACTAGCTAATTCCTACTTTTAGGGAAGAATGGGAAGTGTTTAACTACTAAGAAAAAAATGGTAGAGCCAAGATTTTAAGTTTCAGTATGAAAGCTTCCATCCATGATCTTGAAAGCCAGTGATTTGTGATTCAGGTTAGATTGTGTATGTGGTAGGAAGCTTAAAGATTGAGAGAGGACTAGTCAGTCATGAATGAACTGAGGAAAAGCCAGAGGGAGAAAAGACTGAATGAAGTTAGTTGGAAGGTTAGTATTTTATGCAAGAGAGGGTGTTTAAGAGTCTGTAATTAGGCTCACAGGTTTTGGAAATGAATGGAATACATTCTAAAGTTTATATTGTTTAAAAACAAAAAATGTAAGTGACCAAGGGATAGAGGGATACTAAGAATGGCTCCAGGTTTTATCCACGGTTGAGAACTGATAGGGTTCTCAGGAAGGAATGGGATGCAGGCTTAAGGAAGCAGATAATTTTGTTTTCAGTCATGTTTAATTACAGGTTCCTGGAGAATGTTGTGGTAAACCTTTTGAATATAGACTTGGAAATAGGGTCTTTTGTGGATCATTTCTGGATAATAGATGTTGGAAGACATGTAAGTCTATACATAAATGTAACATATTCAGAAGACTTATCAAGAAGTATACCCACAGAGTCTTATAAGTACTGACATTTAAGGGATGCTAGAGTAGATGGAAAGAAATAAAGGAGAATATTGAGAGTATTATTATGGAACTAAAGAATGTAAAGTTTTAGCAAAAGAAAAGATGGTTAGTACCATTTAGTGCAATTAGATCAAATAGATTGAGTCTGAAAGAGGTCATTAGATCTAGCATCTTAATTTTGAAATAGTAGTTAAAAGTCCAGGAGTAGTTACGGGATAGTACTATTACTAGAAATCGAGGAGTTAGCAACTAGCAGTACTCCATCTTGAGCCAGGAAGAATGATGATAATTATGGCAGAATAAAGAAATAGGTAGATTTGGAAGATTTTATGTATTTTCTCAATAATATAGAAGTCAGAGTATTCTTCATTTGTAGGTTGGAAAAGTTTTATAATATTTGGGGGAATAGAAAACAAAAGATGTCTTAGCTGAATAAAAAGTTAACTGATGGCATATTTGATGTCATTGGGAAATAAGAACAACAAATCAGTATGTGGAGTTCATGACTTTTACTGAATAGAATTTACTACAAGTTGAAATTTTTATCACAGTAGTTTTTTTGTGTGTGTATGTGGTACTAGGGCTTGAACTCAGGGCCTTCACCTTAAAACACTGCACCAGCCCTTTTTTGTGAAGAGTTTTTCCTAGGGTCTCACGGAACTATTTGCCTGAGTTGACTTCGAATCCTGAGCTTCCTGATCTCTGCCTCCTGAGTAGCTAGAATTACAGGTGTGAGCCACCGGTGCCCAGCTATCACATCAATTTTTTTGAGTCCTCTGTTTGACACTTCTGTTTAATAAATATCTCCTCCCCCTTGGCTTTTGTGGTAATGTTGTTTTCTATCTTTTCTTCGACCATTCCTTACATCTCTTTTATATTTTTGCCTTACTTGTATATTTTGGAATAATCTTAAGGTTCTGTGATTGGCCCTTTAATTTGGGCATTTATCATTTTCATGGCTCCAAGAACAATGTATGTGTTGATGATTCACCAGATTTTTGTCAACTTAGATTTCTTCTTAGAGTACCAATCTAGTAAATTTCACTGTCATCAACTTACTTCTACCTGGAGTACCTTATAAATATCTACCTCACAATGTTTTGGAAAGATGTCTTCTCAAATTCTGAATATTGATGGGTAGGGCCACTATCTATCTGCAACTAAATACTTCATTTCTATTTCTTTACCATGTGTTATATTCTACTGTTGGAAACTTAAATCAGCACTGTCCTCTCATTGTCTTACACTGGATTACTACCTGATGTTTATAAATTCTAATTGCCTTTTTGCCTTCTCCCACTACCAAACTTTCCTCTAAACTCTTGCACAAGTGGTCATGAAAAATTCTGAAAGTTACTTCATGATGTAAAACCTTTTAGTGAATTCCTTTTACTTGCTTACGGGTTCATATATGGATCAGCTTCAGAAAGATTCTTAACCCCTTGAATTATATGTAAGATTTCTTCATATTCTTCATAAGGCTGTATACCTAAAAATGTTTAGGAGCCATTGGCTTTTGGAATAAAGATAGCATAATTAAGTTCTCACTAAGATAGTATAGTGACAGGGTTTTTGCAGCACTTCTTGCAAAGTATTTGTCATCCACTTAAAATACCCTCCCTGCAGGTAACCATTTCTTTCTTTGCACGCCACGGTATTTTTTGTGTCCATCATAAAACCATAAATAAGGCATGAGCTTCTCTGCCCTTACACTTTGATGGGAAATATTATGATGATACTTCTCCCTCCTTGAGCCATGGGCATAGTGAATGGTCAAAGTCTTTCTTTGGTACAAAATTAACAAAGAATAAAGGGAAGTACTAAAAGTGACAAACTGTTCTCTAGTTAGGTGATACGAATTTCATTCTTTTATCTGAAATTTCTTGTTAACTTCACTTTACCTTTTCTAAAATTATTTCTGGTGATTTTTATAGTCATTCATTTTGGAGGCAGTCTGTAGCAGTTAGGAGAGCAGACTCTGAAATCAGATGACCTGGATTTTCAACTGCCTCAGTCACTTATTAACTGTGAGTGCATTGCCTTGGGTACATCACTTGAGCTTCCTGTCCTTCAGATTCTTTCATATGTTAAAAAAAGGAAAATAATTGACTTATTTTATATGATAATGTGAGCATTAAGTATAAAATGCTTCAAACAGTACGTGGCTTATATAATAAACAAATGACAGATATTATGTTTAAATTTTAATGTAATAAAAATCAACATCAGCAGATACCCAAAATCTGTTAAAATACCATTTACATGATTTTGACTATGAAAAAAATTTTACCTTAAAAGACTTGGGAATGGTCATTGTTATAATTTAAATTTTTAGCTTGTATGAAACGTCAAA